AACAAGAGATTAAATAGGGAGCTTTTGGATACAAGAATAGTGTAACACTATCCTATCAGGGACTAACATGTCAGCATGTCCAAAGTTGGAGGAGTTCACTTTGCTTTTCCCATTTCTTCAACAATTGGAAATGTCCGTGTCGGGATCCACTGTTCATCTTCAAAACCAAACTTCCCAAGTTTTCTGCCATTCACCGTGCACTCATGGTGCACCTACATTGTTAAGCCACCCAACTTGGGAGGGCTAGCTCAACAATTACTCCAGGAAAGGCTTCTAAAGATTAACAAATTAAGAAAGTATTAGTTGAGGTTGAGGACGTTTCATTATATACCAACACTATTATACGGCATAGAAATAAAAGGAGTCCCAATATTCCATCCATTACTTTAACCTGTATTACTGCAACATCAAACAAAGACAAATTAATAACCCCATTCATATTGGAGTAACTACGTACTGCTGTGTAATAACCAAAAAGCCAATTATATATATATATATATATGCCATGTGGACCAATACCTTGTGTTCTGAAGATATTATGTCGGTTAAATGCTCATTTTAGTCCTCTATTTTTATAAAAATATCCCTTTTTAATCCTTACAATATTGTGGGTGAAATTGTTGTCATATCCTTATTTAATGCTACATTTTTTTAATTGTCTTAATTTTTTTAGTTCATCAAATGATAAGTTATATGATAAAGTTTTTCTTCCCAAACCCTTTTTCATATCTTAAAATTTATTTTTAAAATTTTTAATATAAAAATTCATATTATTAACCACCATAACATCCATCAGTGACAAAAAGATATAGGATTTAATATTTTACATCACTGAAAACATTTGGTGCACACCTATGTTTAACTAATTGCTTTCAAAGATTATATATTTTAATTACCCATAATTTTTAGACAACTGAAAAAGGACATTACTCCTCTCTTCACCCAATTAAACTCATATCACTGCTTGGGGAAAAATATCAAACCAAAATTTTCTTGCTTTCTCCTCTCTTCTTTATTTTTATTTTTATTTTTATTTGGGGGGGTGGGCATGAATTCCTTTTCAATGCATGCACGTAATTTTTCATAACTCTTTTAGTCATTAAGTGAATGACCTGACTTTTGATTGTATTGTTGCTACATCAAAGAAACATGTGATTATCGATCACTTGAATCATATGATGGTAAAATCAGTGCTTATAATGGGCATGATCTTGGGACGTTTAAGCCCAAGAGTTGGCTCTAAATTGTGATTCCGTTCCACCACCCCAATTTATAATTGTTTTAATTATAAAAATGTGAGTAAAAATCTTTTAAGAAAAAAGTGAAGTGAAAAACAAAATTATCATCTTTTTAACATTAATAATCAGAATAGGGAGTGCATGAGTGCAATATTGCATTTTAGTTTGGGCCTAAAAGCCTAGAGGCCTACCTATTTGTGCTAGCCATGGCAGACCCACCTCTATGTCAATTTCAGAGTTGGGCATAGCCTAATAAATAGGCCAGGGGGGATTGGTCCGATGGGATGGCATTTAATGGGCTTTCATGTTACTTTCCCAAATTCAACCCCATTTGCTTACGAGCAGTTTTGTTAAGCCCAAAAAAACAAAAAAGGCAGGGAGAATATTTACGTAATTTGACATTCCACCTTGCCTTCCGCTTATTTTCCCTGCTACAAA